CTTTTTGCGCCTCGCATCAGTTCTGCTTTCCGAGCCCCTCGCCGTGGCGTGCAGGGTCTCCCCTGGCAGCTCTGGGCTGAACGAGTGCAGACGGGATTAGCCCCCTCCAGTGTCCAGGTCCCCCTTCTTCCCTCTGGTGGCAGCTCGCGAGAGCCGAGCACGCTGACATGGAAACCTTGGTTAGCAAAGTGAACATGTTGGCACTGGGAGCCTTTCCAAACAGGAAGCTGCCCAAGACCGATTTTATTCGTGAGATATTAGATGCCTAAATAGTTACTGTACAGGATGCTGTATGAAGCTGGAAAACTTTTGTGTAATTTCAGAGCTTGGACAGAGATGGGAGAGTTAGGTGACTGATCTGTGCTGCTCAGTCAGCCACTGTTGGCTGCTTGAGCAACATAGCAAAAGCATGAAAGTGAGAGCATGTTAACTAGCCTTTTAACTTGCCAACTTTTAAGAATCATTAAAAAATTATTCTTATCATGCCCCACTCCCCTTCTTCCCCTTCCCCTCCCCCCCCCAAAAAAAAAGGTGATGGTATTTTTACTGAGTGTTTTTGAGATAAAATCTGGATGCACAAACATGTTTTGGAGGTGGTTTGTTAAGAGGAAAATGCTTACTGTTAGAGTTCTTCTAAGCAGATTTTTCCACGGTAGCTTAAAGATCTGCTGTACACAATCACATTTTTGGGAGGAGAAAAAAACAAATTTATTGACCTTTCTGTTTTGATGACTAATGTAAAGAAAGCTTTCAAATGGTTGTTGTATCTCTCAGAATGGAGGTTCTGATAGGTGCCTTTTGAGTGAGTCTTAACATCACTTTTATTTTTCTGCCCAGAGTTTTTGGTAAAGGTGTTTCCCCTTTGCGGCAGTGACAAAAAGGATCATGACTCAGTTATTCCAGTTCCCAGATGGGTGTTTGGCTCAAACTGACCTTTTTTTTCTCTGGGAGCTAAGATACAGGGTTGTGACCCGGTCTGCCTGAGTTTGGGATGTCATCCATTGCTCTTGCTACGAGCATGATGACTTCCGAGGAGCTTGGATGCAGCGAGGGCATCTTCATCCCCTGCAGCAACATTGACTGGAAGCTTCTAATTTCACAGTTTTCCTCTTTGGGCTCATGCAAAAAGCTTAGGAAAACGGAGACAGTATCTCCTGTAATTTTTTCATTCCAGAACAGTTTAAACACCAATATGCTGCTGCTGGATCAGGCAGTCTCAGTTGCTCGCTCTTGTCTCTGTGCCTCTTCTCTCCCATGTATCAGTGCAGTGCTCTGTAGATATCAACACTGGTCCCTGAACAGTGTAATTAGTTTTTCAATGGGGCTATTAAGTCCAGGCACACTGCCATGCTGCTATAGCTCTAATAATTCTGTTTCTAGAGCTAGCTCCCTCTGAGTTAGCATAGCTACCTCTTTTGTGTGGATCTGCGCTTATGTTCCTCATTAGCCTCTTTTTTGGCAAGTCTATTAAATTTCTGGGTGACCCTTGGTAACTGACTTAGTTACAGTGACCTCGTGTGCTCATTCATATATTGAGTAGCATTGGTTTGATAGACGTGCTTTTCCTTTTATTTGAAAAAAAAAAAGTTTTAATTCAATTGAAACTTAGTGTTAAACAAACAGCCCACTCACAGTTATCTACAGGTATAAAGCAGAGGTGTTTAAAAATACACTTTCCTTCTCAGTGTTTATTTTTTTTCTTTTTTCCTTTTCTCTGCTATAGTTACAAATCAGTGGTTCCTACCTGCTGTAAGGGGAGATATTCCTCCAGGCTGTGCAGCACATGGATTTGTTTGTGATGGTACCAGAATACTAGTTTTTGGAGGAATGGTTGAATATGGAAGATACAGTAATGATTTATATGAATTGCAGGTAGGAAATGTATGAAGATATTTCAGTTTTGAGGACTACTTTATCTATTTATGAACAAACACATTTTATATTACCAACTGCAGAGGAAAGTTAGATGAGCTTTGCTTTGCTCCAGGAAGAATACATTCTTTAAATAGATTCTGAAGATGGGGAAAAAATCTAAATAACTTTGAAAAAGAGACTTTCATCTAGTCTATATAAAGTATAAAATATGTAATGTTTTAGGAAGGTTAGCTCTTATGTGCCCTTTTAATGTATATCCTAAGAAAAGCCCAGCATTCCCTTAAAAATAATTCAGAAAATATGAGTGTTAATACTATCTGAATTGTGTTGACTATGAATGACTATAAATGAAGATATTTCTGAATCTATTTTTCTTGTCTTTAAGGCAAGTCGATGGCTCTGGAAAAAAGTAAAACCTCAAGCTCCTTCCACTGGATCACCACCTTGTCCTCGACTTGGCCACAGCTTTTCTTTATATGGTAACAAGTGCTATTTATTTGGTGGCCTGGCAAATGAAAGTGAGGATTCAAATAATAATGTTCCCAGGTATGCTGATTTGGTTTGAATTCAGTGTCTTTAAAAATAAATTACTTGTTATGACAGTGTTGAAGAGGGGCATTCTAGGGAGGCTGTCCTGTGTACCAAGTATTCACATTTGGATTATTTGTGTGGTGGAGGGGTTACGTGCTAAGGAGCTTAAATATTTCTTCTGCTAATCCCACAGTATTCTCAACTGACTGGCAGCTCTGACATTTTTGGAGGGAAACCTGAGTAGACTTTGGTATTTTTCCTAATATTTTGGGTGATATTTTTAAGAATGGCTTGTTTGTTAGACTTACTTAAATCAGCAACGTCTCATGAGTCATCAGGGAATTCACAATGAAAGTTTTCTCTATAATGTTGTGGAAAACAGTTATGAATTCACCTGGAAATTTTTTAAAGTAACAGTTCAAGTTGCCTTTATTATTGGAAAACAGTGCTATAATGCTGAAGTTTTATATCCACATTCACCTGCAGTTCAGCATGCTTATATCCACTGAGCTATAAACCTGCAATTTTAAGCTCAGTAAACAAGAGGTATCTGGTGTGAATGCCAAGATTCAAAGACCATTATCTAAAAATAGCTTGCTGATAGATTCAGCAACAAATAGCTAATTGTTGGCCAGCCTGAAGACATCAGAAAAGAAACAGCTTCTTTTCACCTTTCTTGCCTTAGAGTTGCAGAAATCTCTAACGTCCCATGTCATCATGTATTTCTCACAACTTTGCAGTTTATTCCAAGTATGTCCATATGTAGTGGTTTCTGCTAAGAATGTTTACCAATGTTGAATGTTTCTTTACTGTAATGCAGTGTATCAAGTATGATATGAAAGCATGTTTCCTTAGAGGCAACAAGGTACAATAGTTCATTTTTTGGTTTAAATCCATTTAGTTTTGGTAGTGTCCACAATGTTATGAAATGTTTTGAGATTTTAAAATTCTACACTCTCCCAAGACAGAAATCTGTAATACTTGGAAGGGGTCAGGGTTAAAAGCTGACTCGTAATCTTGCTTATAAGTGAATTTTTCATATTTTGACAATAATACTCTAGATATTTAAATGATTTCTATGAACTGGAGCTGCAACACGGTTCTGGCGTCGTTGGCTGGAGTATTCCTATGACCAAAGGGATCTTGCCGTCTCCCCGAGAATCTCACACAGCCATCATATACTGCAGAAAAGATCTGGGAAGTCCAAAGATGTATATTTTTGGAGGGATGTGTGGCTGTCGGCTTAATGATCTCTGGGAACTTGACATAGGTGAGTTGATTCGCCAGTAGAAGTCAGTGCAGGGGCCTTACTAGCTAAGAGGAAAAAATACAGAATATAATGATTAATGGCATGATGTGGTGCAGATATTATTGGGACTTACACCATAGTGTTAACCTTTTGTCATTTTTGGAATTAAATAGATACAGCATTGTTTGCATATATTATTCTCAGTGATTCTGGTTACAGGGTGAGATTGTTTCCTTAGAGCGCTTTAAAGACTGTCACTATGATAGCCAAGTTGAATAACCATAATGAAACTACAATGTATCTTTTTGATAAACTCATAAACAATTATTTTGTATTTCCTGTGAATTTTAAAAGAAGCTTTAAGTGCTTGCTATTGTGCCTTCTTTCTTAAAGTGGCCATCTTAAAAAGGTGAAATTTTGTTTTGTTGAATGTTAGAGGTATGATCCCTCCTAAAATCCAGGTAGTGAAATATACAATAACAAGTAAATATACAAGTTTTTTGATGGTTTTTATTCTTTTTTCTTTTAGAAACCATGACTTGGTCAAGACCAGAAACAAAGGGGACAGTACCACTTCCTCGCAGTCTCCATACGGCCAATGTAATAGGAAACAAGTATGTCTGTTGTTAAAAGCTCAACTCTAGAAAGGTACACCTAGTAGGAGAATGATGATGCTTATCCACTACTGCTCAGTATAAACCATCAGCCCTGTAGAGTACTTTTCTGCTTCTATTATCCTACCTCAGTGGAAATGAAAAAGTACCATTGTTAATTTAAGGGCATCAAACTGTCGGTGTTTCCATCCAGCAGGACAATCTGCCCAACCCACAAGCAGCTTTCCAGGCTTCTTAAGGCACCTTTGTGCATTCCGGGGCGGTCTCTGCTGGACCAGAGCTGGCTCTGTCAGGAGCCTACTTGAGTCCCTCTCTGTTTGTGACACAATGAACTAGCTACGCAAAGAAACTGCCCAAAGAGTAGAACTAGTTCTAGGCAAAACCATTCCACGTTTTTGTGGGCCATTTTTTCTGTAGTCTGCTCCTCATTACTTTGCTTCTTGCCAGTATGGTCTGTTTTGGCAGATAGCATTGATAAAATGGACTTTTAAACATGGATTTCAGTCCATTTTATATCAGTTTACAAGCTGGTGTGAGGAGAAAGAAGCAAGGGGGGAAGGAAGTGTGAAAGCTTTGTATCTTGTGATCCAACAGCTTAGCTTTTTAGTACTTACTTAAAATGTTTGTAGCCTGTGTTATGTTTTTAAATTTTGATATCTGACTTAGATACCGGCCTTCTAATTTTAGAATGGTTTATTGAGAGGTGTGCAGTAAAGGGTTGTAGAAATTCTGTGTAAATGTGTGATTTTTTTGAGAGTATTAGCAGTTTAGTGGTTTGTAAAAAAGGTACAGTATTAACTTCCGTTTCTGGGAAGTTGGTTGAGGAGTTTGGGGAGGTGTTGTTTGGTTGGGTTTTTTAATCAGTTAACTTACTCAGAATTTTCAGAAAGTAGATGTCTGTAACAGTACTTTCTAAAGAGAGTAGACACAAATAAACTGCTGTAAAACAGAACTGTAAAGCACTGGAAATTTTCTGTTTTGTCCTAGTTTGAGAGAGCACATGCAGCAGATCTGAATGTTAATTGGCTCTTCTTTTCTTTTTCCCTCTTCCCTCTTCTCCTATATTTCAGAATGTATGTTTTTGGTGGATGGGTTCCACAGTCAGCAGGAGGTGAAATTTCTGCTCATGATGGTGAATGGAAATGTACCGGTTCATTTTCTTATCTTAATTTGGGTTAGTGTTTCTATCTTTTTGGGAGTGGGCATTTTGAATTAATACTTTCTTAACAGAGTAGAATGAATATTTTAAAGACCCTGAGAAAAGTTTGAGGATACAATTCTAATCCTAGCTGACTAAAGAAGATGCCACTTCTTTACATCTTTCTTAAGAAGTGATTTTTGTAATTATTTTTCTTCGAACATTCAGCAGGTTTGCTGATGCAAATCTTTGTTAATACAACTTTAATACTAAGTAATATAAATACTTTTACTTAATTTATAGAACACCACAAGAGACAGATCCTGAAATGAGTTTTTTTCTAAATGTGATAGTACTATCCCTGAATGCTCAACTTCTGATCTTGTATTTGCCTGAGAGAGACAACCAGAGGTCAGAAAATTCATCCTGTATTAATTGATCGTATCTTGCAACTAATTGGAAAGCGACCTTCTCTTTGTAATAGTGCAAATTTAAGTGCAATTGTCTTTAAAAACAGAGGTGATTTATTTTTATTTTCTCTGATCAGTTAAGTGTATTAACATCTGTTTTGTTTGTTTTGGAAAACATCTAGAAACTAAATTTTTTGAGTTTCATTTACTAGATACCACAGAATGGATAGGTCTGATCTCAGATTGCCAGGAGGACAAAAGTAACTTGTTACCAGGGCCAAGAGCAGGACACTGTGCTGTAGCAGTTGGCACTCGTCTGTATATCTGGAGTGGTAGAGATGGTTACAGAAAAGCTTGGAACAATCAAGTTTGCTGCAAAGATCTTTGGTACCTTGATACTGGTGAGTCAGAAATAAATAAAAGACTTGTACTATGTTCCATATTTTATTAACATATGGGAAGCTGGCATCGTTGATGATCAGAACATCTAAAGCTGTAGCAAACTCAAAGATTATTTAAATTTTAAAGGTTATTTAAATAAACCATGCTTCACTGTTGATTGTTTGAAGGCTACAGCTATAACTTAAACTGAAAAAATTAAGAAGGCTTGTTTAAAGCCCCTGAAATAACTTTGTGTCTAGATTCTGCATTGCATGCCATAGTCAGTAGATACAAGGTGCTAAAGGGTGTTTTACCTAAACTCGAGGTTCCTGGCCTCTCTTCTTAGTGATCTTTGCTGCTGCTACTTACTCTTTTTTACCAAACCTCTCCTTCTCTTGGGATCATTGCTGCTGCTGCTTCCTCATCTCTTGGACTGCAAAAAGATACTGTCAAATCTGAGAATGGACCAAATTGTTCCGAGGGCTGAAGGGAATTCTGGAGCACTAATCACTCATTAGTAGCTGGCTTGATGGCAGGACACTGAGATGGTATCAGGAGAGAGGGAACTAGAATAGTACTTTTGGGAGAGGGTTGTTGCCTACTCAAGCGGAAGTGTGAGAATTGTTACTGGAGATTTGTGAAACATTTAGGAGATCATGTTTTCTTTTGTTTTTCCTTTTTTTTTTTTTTTAAATTTTTATTTTCCTCAGGAAGGTGAGAAGATGAAAAAGAGTAGCAGGGGAGGGATGTGCTTGAGAGTGCAGCCTAGTCAGGCATCAACGCAAGTGAGAGGAGCAGGTCGTTGGCATTGAATTGTGCCTAGGTTTCAGCCCCTGCAGAAGTTTGAGGGAAAGCTCACTTTAGCTACAGAGAGCAAGCAAAAAAGAAGCACAATCTTCTGTGAATCCTTTCCAGGAATATGTAAAGCTTTAGGAGCCAGAGAGCTGTGTGCAGCCTTTTAGGAAAGGACGAGGATCTCTTATCTCTGTAATACCTATAAGGAAGTACATACAACCCAAAGACTTACCGGCAGCAGAAGACCCATTAAAAAACAAAACAACAAAACTTCAGCATTTTTGAACACTCTAGAATGGCACTTTATAAATCTCTGACTTGATTTGCAACCTTTGACACCTGTTTCTTGTTGAGTATGGTATATATAGTACATCAGTGAAAAAGGAGCTATTGATTTTGCTTGCATTATATAGATATTTCTTAAACTGATAAAGGAGGGCAATTTCAAACATGCCATCTGTGTTTTATTGGTTTCTTGTAGAGAAACCTCCAGCACCATCACAGGTACAGCTGATTAGAGCTACAACCAACTCTTTTCAAGTGAAATGGGATGAAGTACCTACAGTTGAAGGATATCTTCTTCAATTACATGCTGACTCACCAGTGCCATCAGCGGCTGGAATACCTGGTACTGGGGTTCCTGAGACATCAGTGCTGAGTTCACAAGGTAATAGTCAGATCACATTACACTAATGTTTGTGCAAAGAGAGAGTAGAGGATTGCACAAGTAATTAATATGAGTTTGTTTTTTAAAAAATAATTTTGAGAGATCCTATTTCTTTGGTTATTTACAAAATGCATGCATTATAATTATGGAAAACTCAGCTTTAACTTGTCACTGTGGGTTTTGGCCAGCTATTTGAATATGAAGATATTTGTACAGTGCTGGGCACAATTTGAGAAAGGAAACAGTGAGGCAGGGATTTTATCTGACTGTTTCTCCATGCAGTTTCATTTCAGTCTTACAACCAAGTCTTCTTTCAGGCGACTTTGGGTCTCCCTCTTGCTTACTGGAATAGATTCCAACCAACATAATATTAAATTTTATGTAACTGATTGGAATTTGCTTTTGTTTACCTGAAAGGTGGCTCTTCTGTACATCAAAGTCCACAATCATTGCCTAGTGTCCCTTATCCAGAAATGAAGGTGGATCATCCCAGCCAAACAAATAATGTCATTCCTAATAACGTAAGTGTGAACTGAAAAATGCCTAAGTGACAAAGCAGTGTGGGAAGCAACAGAACTGCCAAAACACTTTCTCAGTTTTAAAAGTCCCTGCGTACTTTTTAGGCCTTAGAAAAAGCCCCAAAATCAAACAAAACAAAACCAAAAAAAGGACACCTGCTGAAGGTGCATCGGTTGCATCAGTTTTCGTACATCCTTTTTACTTTTATGATTGACAGATAGTCTTTAAAGTCCTCTTCCTGGTAATGCAGAAAGGAAACTGCAATTGTATTGACTTCCAGAGTGCGAACTGGGAGCCTGCTACCAGTAGAAATACTGTTCATCCTCAAAATGTTGCTGCAATTACTGTGAGAGGCAACAAGGATAAGGCATACTCCTTCTTTGTTAGTGCTTGTACGCTAGTCTGCTTAGTTGTAGGTTCCTACTACAGTATAAACCCAATTATTATCTGTTCTGGTTGTGCAGTTGTACATGTTCTACTGTTTTGCGAATTTAAAAGAAAGGAGGAAGACTAACTCTGGCTAAAGGATCAAATTTTTAGAAGTTTAGACCTTTTCTTAATTGTGTAAGGCCTCAGATCTGTATGGGATCCATAACGTATCCTTGTAGAAAACACATGCAGAAGTACTATACATTTTACTAACAGTAGAAGTATCTTAGGTATGTGCCAGGAAAGCAAAGATTGAAAGCCTCTGTAATTGTGATTTTATTTTTTTTTTCCCCCATCCCCTCAAGTTCCCCAATAGTCTAAATGTATGCATCAATGAACTTCCATTAATAACACAAGAGTTTGAGTCTTTGCTTTATCATGGCTAAGATATGGTGGATTGTGAGGTTGGTTTCTTGTTTTAATTTAAAAAGTGCTAGGGGGATTTGTTGGAGGATTTTTGTTTGTTGTTTTTCAGCAAGGATTTTCATGCCATGTTTGCAACTGAAATTTCTGAACATTGCAGTTAAACATTAACAAATGTGTTGTTTTGGTTAGGTCCAAGTTTCCCTTTCATCCAACTCATTACTAAAAGTAGAAGGAAAAGAAAAGGTTGCAGCACCTGAAAACAAGATTACACAGGAGACTATGAGAAACCATGCAGATGCTACAGGATTCAAAGAATCAAATGCCCCTTCTCTTTTGCCTGTTTGTACATCAAGTAAGATGACTATAGAATAAAAATTAATGAAAAAGTGAGAGTTAAAATTCATCTCATAAACATAAAATAAGATTATTTCTGTCTTGCAATTTAAAATTATTTTAGAGGCCTTTGTAGTTTAAAAAACCCAACTTGTACTAGTTATTACTGTAGATATTTTTAGAAGATATGAGGAAAAATGACATCTTAAGTTGTTTGAAGTGTTGTAAGGGATATGAAATTCTCAATATATTCATTATTATGGTGGCAAATGTGTCTCAACATAAATAGCCATTTTTAATATCAAAGAATTGACTGACAGGGCTAGATTCATTTTACAACATTAAGGTGATAGTAACTGCAGGGTCTCTTTGATATTCCTTCTGTCTGTTAATAGTGAAAAGCTATTAGCCAATGTAAAATTTTAGGCAGCGTAGAGACGAGCATGTTTTTCTCTGACTGTAGAGGAAATAGAAGATGACCAGGCACCGATTTAGGCGTTTCACTGAAGTGCTTTAAGTTCTGTGTGGTGAATCCAGGCTCAATTACCTGATCTGTTTATATTTGACTTTCATGTAATTTACAGGTTGTTGGATTTTAATTTTCTTTACCACGTAATTTAAATATTGTGTAGGAATTTTGGATCTTAGTGCTAAGTGAGAAACAGGCTTCCACAGGTTAATCTTCAGTTGATTGTTATAAATCTATGATACTAATTTGTGTGGATACTTTATATTAGGATTTTTTCCCAAATTAATCCTTTTGTAACCAAATAGATATAGAATAGCAAGCTTAAAACAAATGAAATTGCTGTTTTAATATAACTCTTTACATATTTCTGTTTATGACCGTGCAGACAGACTCTTGTTAAGTTATTGCCACGGTTTAACCCAGCAGGCAGCTAAAACAACCACACAGCCATTCGCGCACTCCCCCCCCGCCCCGCATCAGTGGGATGGGGGAGAGAATTGGGGGGAAAAAAGTAAAACTCATGAGCTGAGATAAAGACAGTTTAATAGGACAGAAGAGGAAGACAATAATAATAACAACAATAATAATGATAAAAGAATATACAAACCAAGTGATGCACAGCACAGTTGCTCACCACCTGCAGACCACTGATGTCCAGCTAGTTCCCAAGCCAAGGTCCAAATCCCTGGCCAGCTTCCCCCAAGTTATATGCTGAGCATGACATCATATGGTATGGAATATCCCTTTGGCCAATTTGGGTCAGCTGCCCTGGCTGTGTCCCCTCGCAGCTTCTTGTGCACCCTCAGCCCTCGTTGGCAGAGCAGTCTGAGAAGTTGAAAAGTTTACCCCTTGTTTACCCCTTGACTTGGGGTAAACATTGCTTAGCAACAGCCGAAACATCAGTGTGTTATCAACATCATTCTCATCTGAAATCCAAAACACAGCACTATACCTGCTAGTGAGAAGAAAATGAACTCTATCCCAGCCAAAACCAGGACAGTTACATACCTAAAGAAAGCATTAGCAATTAATCTAATCAGATCCATTCTAACCTAAATCTGAGCTAAACTCTGGGTTTATATGAAACTAAAGCCAACCTCTGGCTTTATATGAAACTAAAGCCATTAGATCAAGTTGAGATTTTTTAGGTGCTATCAATATTGAATTCTGGTTAATATTTTCTTTTCTTCTTAAGGTCCTCAGACTTCAGCAAATGTAGGTGAATTACATGACTTGGACAAACGAACTGTAAATCCTGATGCTTCTGTATCCAGTACTGTCTCCAGCGCACAAACTATGGTAACCCAGCAGGCTGTTAAAACTGAATCATCAAGTACAAATGGGGCAGTTGTTAAAGATGAAACTTCACTAACAACATTCAATTCAAAATCTGAAGGTTTGAAATGTGTTTCACATACTGTATTTTGAGCCATATGTATCTAAGGCCATCAGAGTTCCTCTAGTGTGGTGGGATTCCCATCTTGACTAGTACCTGGGATTGAGATAGGGCTTTGGGCACTGAGGACCTTAGGCAGCCTGGATGATCTCTGCTATGATTTAAACATTTTTTAAAACCAGGATGTTCCTTTTATACATTTGTAAACCACTTTGTTTCCTTTAAGTGAAAAGTCCTTTAAATCTTCATTTATGCAGAAGCCCATTTTCTAAATAGCAGTGGCAGCCAGTTTTGGTGCCCATAGCACGTTTGCTCTCATTCAGTGATTGTCTGTTTATTTAGTCAGCAAAAGACTACAAATAGTAACCTTAGATGGTTTTGATTTTAAACAATTGACCTCCATAACAAGTATGGCCAGTTCATGGGGCCAGCTCACCACTAGTCAAATTTGGTGACCTCTTCGCAGTCTGCTTGAAATATCCAAAATAAGCAGCAATGCAGAAACTAAACATAGTGGTAGTTTTTCAAGTTTTGTTTGTAGTGATTACCAATAGTCTGTGCTTGCTGTTGTTTTGAGTGTTAAATAAAGAACTGTATTCTATTATTGACGCTATGTGAGCAGTGTAATTTTTACCCCAGTATTGTATTTTAAAAGCAAAAACCAGAAACACAAGTATAGAATACTAATATCCCCTTGAGTTGCTTATGTGCTTTGATTTAATCTTTTTTTAAGATTCCACTTTAAAATTAATAAATGTTTTTTCCCATTTGTTAGGATTGTTTAAAGATTAACTGCTTATGTTCAGAATTCAGACTGTATTGATGTCAGAAACAATGCATTCAAATTAAGATTTCATGCTTAGTCTAAGCATACAATATCATCAGTATGTGCCTCAATCTGGTATTTAGATTATTTGTTCGCAAATATTTCATATCGATTTCATAATTCTGTCACTTTTTAGGATTTTCTGAGTCCTGCCTTCTGTTTGTAATATCTGTAGCAGCCTGCAATGCCAGGCTCTTACAATTGTTCTGTGAATGTGACGCAAGCCAAAGTTAGTTGTTCATGTTATAAATAGAACTGCATGCAAAAGAAGTCTGAGACACAGTTTTGCAACAAATACTTGTAAATGGCTATTGAGGTCAACTTTCATAACTCTGTGGACTTTGTGTTAAAAAGCTTAAGTGATATGAAGAATTTAAATCTAACTTTTTGTTTCTAGCTGCTGAAACTGCTTATATCATGCCTTCAACAAAGGTCAATACTGGACAGACAAATGATTCACACTCCTCTGTAAGTCTGAAAAAGTATAATCAAATTGCTGCATTTATTGTTCTGTTGATTAGTTGTAAGGGCTCTTCTGTTTTCCTTTAATAGTATCTGAATAAAAAGCAATGTATATTTAGGGCTTGAAGTGAATAATACAGGGGTAAACATTTCTGTTGTAAAACTAATTGCATTGTGTGGGTGTGATTTGAGTCTAAGTAGCAGTTGTGTAGTTGGGAGGAGATCCAAGTATGTGTTTCAGCTGTTGAGTCATTTTTATCGACTGGCACAGTGGAATGGTCTCTCTGCTGCATGATGTGCAAATGTAAAATGTTTTTCTGTATGCACAACTGAATTTAAAATGAAGTATGTATTGCATCAGACTAGTGTTAGCTGCTGATCTATAGGTTTGAAACGTAACTAAACTGACATCTTGATGTTTTTCCCTAGAGGAGATGGGGACTGGCTATGCAAGCTGTAAATACTGCCTGAAAAAGTAAATGCTTCCTATTTCACCTGCTTACAACTTAATGCACAAAACCAAGGTGCCACTGTTGCCACCAAAAGAGAGGAGCTAAGGATGGGAAGAAGCAGCTGCTACTAAAGAGTTGCGGTGCTTTTGCCAAGAGCAGCTGCCACTGCAGCCCCTTTTCCATGCTAGCAGGATCATGGCCTGTCCGTGCTGGGCACGCTGACAGTGCAAGCACCCTCCCCGGTGCCTGGAGACAAGCAAGAAAGATGGTTTGTCTTTCTGGGTCAGTCAGGAACAGTTCCCATGCCCTCCACCACCATCGCCCCATGCCACAGCAGAGGCCCTCTTCTCAGCTGCAAGCGAGTTCAGCAGCGGCTTGAAAGAGAGGGAGTATGTTTGGGGCTGAGGTATAGCTCAGTCCCAGGTAGAGCTACTGATGTTTGATCACGTTGTGGAACTTCTTGACCTCTGAGTGAAATTAACTCACAACTACATGCTGCTACAGACACCTAGTTCTACAGCTATAAACTTCTTCCCCTCCTCCCTGTTTAAACTAGAATGTCAGAGGTGACATCCCAACTGTTTAATTTTTTTTTTAAATGATGGACTGTGTCTAAGTCAATGTGTAAGAACCAGTTGGTTTCGAAGAGTATTTTAATAATATATGCTATTCATTTGAAGTATAAGAAAGCAACACTGGTATAAAAGGGGGTTGTCTCTTACATATACTAGTCTTAACATTTTTTTTACCTTACATTGAAGTACGGGTAGTCTGCATAACGTGTTCTTCAAATACTAGAAAACTCCACAAAGACAGACGGCACCGGTGAAAACAAAAGACCGGCAGTGGTATGATGTTGGAATTTTTAAGAACAACAGCGCTGTGGTGAGCCAGTTCTACTTGCTGCCAGAAGAAACACTGAGCACCTCTAACAAGGTAGCCGCTAATTCTTCTCTGACATAACTTGCACATACGTATTTTGGAATCTGTTGCTTATGTGGTGGACAACAAAATGCAGGATTTTCTGATACTGGAGCAGGATCTGGTGCTTACAGGAGTCTTGTATTTTGTGACCAGTAGTTCCTCGTGTATTTTGCTGGCCTTTTTTTACTATTTCCTAAACCAGATGAGTTCTCTTCTGTTGTTTTTCTATGATAATATGGAACATCTTATTTTGCTATTGCTAATTATTTTCATATTTCTATTTTTAGCCTTAGGGAAAAAAATTAGAGAACTCTCAAACCAGTAAAAATTCTTAAAAACTAAAAAACCCACAGTGTTTTAATATGTTATTTCAGTACAGCATTGAAATGTTTCAATCAAAGTTTCTTCTCTGTTTCCAGAATCTTTGCTTACAAATTAAAGATACTAACAAGACATAGGCTAGGCTGTTCAAAAGGACTAGATATGGAACTGTAGTGGGTTTTGCATTAGATTTCTCTAAGTTAATGTTGTTGCACATCTAGTTTATATAAGAAAAAGCTATACCTGTGAAACTTGCAAAAATGTTGTAGTTTTGATGTCCTAGCGAACCAGAAACAAAAACAATGGGTGTATGTTTCCTTGAGACAGAAACAGAAGAACAGAACACTTTCTTTGAATGCACTTCATTATAAATATTACACAAAGAGTGTAGTACATTTTACAGTGTTTACATTGATTGTGATTTCTCATGTTATTCAGAAGGAAAATAGTTCCATTGGAAGTTTCAAGGATGCATCAATGTATATTTTAAACATGGAAGTACAGTAGCACATAATGTTTCAGAAACCTGTTTGTTACTAACTTAGAGTGTTTTTCTTTAAAAACATTTTGATTACCTACACATCAAATTGCAACTCCTAGCTATAGGAATAACTGGGTTTGATTTTTTTTTTTTTTTTTTTAAGGACAGAAGAGTCTGCTAATTAAATCATAAGCTATACAGTTGGAAATACTACTTTGCTCTTACTTTCCCAAGTAAAAATAACCAAGAGGTGCAGTTCAATTTAAATGACTGAAAAATAGGGGATTTTTTTTTTTTGTTAGAAATGTATTCTCATACTGCATCTTAAATCACATGTTTTGAGGTGAGCGAGTGCCAGTCAGAACCTTTTTGTAAATTCTGATTTAAGTACAAAAGTATTAGATAGATTTTCAGTTTCAATTAAACTTAGAAATCTCAGTTTATCACTACCTACTTTAAACACAATCAGCCTAAAACATATAGAATATTTTAAAAATTAACACAAATGTTGTTTTATTTTCAGATGGAAAGTGCAGATGTACCAGACTACAGGTTACTTAAGAAACAGGATCTTTTTCCAGGCACAGTGTACAGGTTCAGAGTTGCTGCAATTAACGGCTGTGGTGTTGGGCCTTTCAGTAAAATCAGTGAATTCAAGACTTGTATTCCAGGTTTTCCAGGAGCTCCTTCAACAGTCAAAATCACCAAGGTGAGAAATATAGGTAATTCTAGTTCTGATGTATAAAATTCTGGTCACAAGCTTAATCTCAGCTTGGGTTTAGTTGGGTTGTTGTTGGGGTTTTTTTCAAGTTAAAATTGTCATATAAAATAGTGTCAAATGGTTACTTGGTTAATTCTGCTCAATGTAATTTTCTTTAAGGAATTAGCTATAAAGAATTATTTGAAGACCTAATGATCATGTTACCACATACACATCTTAATCATCTGATAGTTTCCTCGTGATTTTTCTTTCAGCATTCTTAAACCTATAGAGGTTTATCATGCTTTTTAAAAAAAAGTCAAAAGACACATCCTTACCTTCAATGTTAGGTTAGAATTTTCAGATGATGTTTAGAGGTTTTTTGTATTTTTATGGGGTTTT